TTTTTTTTTTTTTTTTTTTTTTTTTTTTTGAAGAGTTTTACCGAAGGCTTGTTATATGCGCACCTATCAGATATAAAAATTCTAATTTTTTATTTTAATGCTTTAAAGAAAGCAACGTTACAAACCAACAGATGGGTTTATCTTTATTTAACCTACTAAGCTAGGCTGTAAAGGTGCATCGCCGTCTACATTTAATTGCTAACATTTCAAGTAGCTGCATGATTTTAACCATTCTCAGGTAATTTTTTTTAAACAATACATTTTTCACGTATTCCTTATTGTAAGTTACCTATTTTTTGTTCCCCTTTCGTTATTTAATCAGTTACAGAATTAGAAGAAATGAAAACAAGAAAATTTTCACAAATGAATGACCTTTTAAAATTTAATTGCTGTAATTATTTAGAAGTCAGTTATTTTTTCGGATATGCGTACTACCAATAGTGAAGTAGGGTGTAGCTCTTCTGGGGAAACTGTTGATACCTTGCGTATAACAGTATGTGCAAATCAGGTACTTTATTTTTCATAAATTTGTTTCGTTATTTTATTGTGTGACTTACAAATTTTTGGAGGCAATTTTCATAGTTTTTTTTTTTCTTCATCAAGTGATATTGTTATTGTTACTACTACTTTATTACTAATTTTTTTTGGGAGGGGGGGAGGTGAGGGGAAATGACTCTTTTATTCTTAAAATTTTTCGCCTACCTCATTGGTTTTGTAATTTTTTTAGGGAGGCCGGAAGTATATGGAGGATCGCGTGCATATTGAACACGTTGATTCGATAGATGGGAAGAAAGGCTACACTTATGTTGCAGTTTATGATGGCCACGGTGGGGCTGATGCCAGTGAATTTGTGCGGAAGAACTTGTTGAAAAATATCCAGAACCAAGAAGGTTTCAACGGAAGTGACGAAGAAATGTTGCAAGCTATTAGAAAAGGATTTATTGAAACTCATTATGCGATGTTAAAAGTAGTGGGTCTGGTTTACTTTTTATTATCTCGCTTTTAAATCTTTTTAGTATTTTTAAAACTGTGTCCGGAGGCTATTTAATGGGAACTGAAATGTTCAATATCATTTTACAGATGAGTGGCCCTTAACTGCATCAGGTTACACGAGTACTGCAGGTACTACTGCAAGTGTAGCTTTTATTACGCGTGGAAAAGTATTTACCGGTCATGTCGGTGATTCGGCTATAATTGTCGGAAAACGACGAGGTTTCGATAATTTCAAATTTAGTTCCGTCGACAGTTTTTTTCTTATAATGCATTGTCGTTTAGAAGGGAGCGTGATTGGTTTGTGTTTAACAGTGGATCATAAACCTGATAATTTCTATGAAGAGGAGCGCATTAATAGAGCTGGAGGTATGGTGATGAAGAAATCTGGTGTAATGAGGGTAGTTTGGACAAGGCCTTTAAAAGGACATATTGGACCGGTTCGAAGATCTACACCCACTGAAAGTATTGCCTTTTTGGCTGTTGCCAGGTCACTTGGTAAGCAATTTGCCCTTCTGCACTCTCGAATTTTTTTTCTTTTTAAAACTTCTTCAACCAGATTTCATTCTTAATTATTAGATCTTTGCCTGATTATTTCTTTATCACATTTATTTATATAATCTTGTTAAGGGGACCTGTGGTCTTATAACAAAGAAACTAAACAATTTATTGTCAGTCCTGAACCTGACGTTTCTGTATACACACTCAGTCATACTGACATATGCCTTGTTCTCGGTTCTGACGGTCTTACGAATGTTTTGAAAGCGCAGCAGATTGTCGATATAGTAAACAACTGTGAGAGAGATACTGATCTTTCGGTGGGCTGTTCGTTTTTTATCATGGAAATATTTCAAGGGGCATAATCTTTAATAGCTGTCTTTCAGAATGGACGTTTGGTTAACCATTCCAGAGTTTTACTTCGTACTGCTTTAGATGGCTGGGGCAGTCTTCGTGCAGATAACATTACTGTTATTACGGTGAGATCTTTAAGTTGATATTAAATACTTGTGAGGGGAAGTATTTAAGATTGTCAGAACGATGCGAGGAAGTGATTTTTTTAATTTTTTATTTCTATTTTAATATTTTTTACGGCATCTGTTTTTTGCAGAAGCTGCAGAATTGCTGTTAAATCTCGTCTACTGTTAGGCGTTGCGTTTTCACCTTAGTTTTTTAAATTTCTTATTGACAGTATTTAAAAATAGAACATCATGTTTAGAAATTTTTGCACGCATTTGCTGAACAGTTTAGTGCTGTTCGAAAATCCACTGTTAAGAATCTGTTTTAAAGGTTATGCTGGATAATGCGGAAGAAGATATATTGAATGATTCTTTGTATGAAAACATTGCTCAAAATTCTGCTTTTAATATGGATCTTGATAGTTTATTTACTGAAAATCAAACTGCGCTTGTCAGACTAACTGAAAAGTCTTGCCAACATTTTTCAACGATACCAGTCAGCATAGTCTATACAGGTGCATTAGACCAGCAGTTTACTTCCGGTTCGTTTCCTTGTTTATTTTTCCTTTATTTTTTCTTCGTAATCACGAATTTAATTTGTTAGCTTTCTTATGTTGCACTTTCTTTTTATTTTTTCAAGGGTAGTTATATTTCAAGCAATATTTTTGTTTTGAAAGCGTTTGTATTTTGCATATTTTCACGCCATTTCGTTTTCTATTTCGTCGGAGTTCCGTTGAAAAATTGTGATAGTTTATATTAACAGGAAGATTAGTGGTTAGCCAGTGCATATCAAAAGTTCATTTTTTATTATACTATAATTTTATAATTTATAGAGGACGAAATCATTTTGTTTTTTCAGATGTAGATTATTCTGGACCTGGGTTTTCTAAACAGATTGTGCGGGATAATCCGATATTACCCTCTAAAAGCTCCTCACTCATTGCTCATTTGAGGCGCAGTGCGTCTTGTGGGGCCGTACCTCAGGAAAATGGCGATAAACAGAATTATTGTTACTGCTCTATAGATTATTCGGTTCATTTGTCGTAAGTTTTAGTGTTGAAACGATATTTGAAAATATCCGTTGAGTCTATTTTCGCCGAAGCTGAGATTTTTGATTTTACCTCTCCATTTTCACTTAACTTTAGGAGCGCTATAATAAGTTGTGCGGAACCAAGTTGCAGCAATGAAGCAGGAGATAAGAACATCAAGATGAATCAAGGAAAAGAAGGAGTTACTATAGAAGTTCGTTTCAATGGCTTATTGTTTTATTTGGTTATTATTGTTTTTTATTTGCCCAAAATAGTTAGGGAATCCCAACAAAGTATTTTGATAAATTTTTTTCCTTGAAGCGAAAATTTATTAACGGTACAAGTATAATTTGACTTAGTTAAAGACGAAGGGTGATTTCAAATTAATTGCGAATCATTTTTTAGCCTCTGTTCACAAATATCTCGTTGTTGAGCAGTGAGTTAATTAACCAACCAAATATTGAAAAAGCAGCGGACGACAGCTGCGTGAGGACCGTGAGAGAGGAAGCAGTCCAGACTTCTGTACAGGAAAATAATGAAAGCCATGAAGTCAGTGTAGAAGAAACAGGAAATGTAATTTTTTCTTGTCGTATTTTTCACTACCTATTTTTTGCCACAATCACTTCAATGCTTGTAACTTGGAAATTTGTTTGCATGAGATGGGTATATCGTAAACAAAAAAAGGAACTTTTGATTTATTTTTCAGGTGTACTTTTTTTTAAAAAAAATGCAAGAGTGTGTTCTGCTTTTTTTCTTAAGTGCTGTTTAAAAAAACATAAAATAGAGTTTAAATTTGCTAATTTAGGGGAGCAGTAACCCTGGACGTGTTACTGACAATTTTGCTGGTCCAAACCCTTTTTTTCTAAATAGGATGTCTGGGAAAGAGGTATAACTGGATGATTATACATGTTTATTGCTTTCTTTATTTATACACTTGTTGTTAATAGCAAGTTTCAATGGGGACCGAAAGTATTATTATTTTTCGAACCCTTATTTGAGGTTTAGACCTTTAATTAAAGTAGGCAGTCATTAATACTTCTAATTTTTCTTTTTTGTCTTACCGGAGCTTCTTGAATCTGCGGGGTTTTCTCTTTTCCTGTTTTTAACAATATAAGTTTTTTTATTGAGGAATTTAATTTTAGTCTCAAGAACTTTTTGTTAAACATGACTGCATCTCACCAAAGACAAAACCCATTGCCGTGGTACCTCCATTTGAAACAACACCGACTTCGTCTGGTATAATATTGTCATGTTTTCCTAACTGCTTAGCTACATTCATTTCACTGGAAAGTTCTAAATTTGCTTTAGGTCGAAGGCGGTTAGTTCCTGTGCGACGGTTAAGGCCTTCCTTTCTTCGTAGACGAGGTATTGCTCGCAGAAATTTGGTGACAGGCGTGGACTCCTCGATTCAGAGGTGTGATGACGAGACAGAGGATTTGTGTGTGTTGGATAAGAACATTGACTTTAAAGAAAACGGTAGTTCTTGGGATTATGAAGGCTTATCAGGAAGCTCAAGGGCGGAAGACAGTCCAACAAAGTACAGGAATCGACTTTCTTTAGGTAATATTTTTATAGAATCTGTTTTGAAGTTACTAAGGCTCATTTTCTCTTTTTTATAAGGCTGTTTTTTAGGAGGTGCTTCTGCTTTATCACCTGTATTAATGTTAGCAGCTTTGCGAACTCCAGACCAGCTTTTATTGAGTAAGGGAACGGACGATCCTTTACGAAGGGAGTTGATGTCTTTTCGGCACACGAGGCACTGCTCATCTGTTATTACTCCAACAGCGTCGAAATTACAACAGCTCAAGCTTGCTGATGATTCCGCAGCAGCCCCATGTACGTTTCTTTTTGAAGAAGCAACTTGGTAACATTTTGTTTTATCGGTTTTCGCTATTTGTTCTTTCAACTAAATTAAGGTTGTTTTAGCAAATGAGCTTGCGGATGAGTCATTACTTAAACAAAAGAGGAAAAACGAGTTTGATGATAGTACTCACGTGAGTATGGAGCCAGTGCCGAAAAGATCTCGTTTATGGGGCTTTTTTTCTAGCTTAATTGGTGATAGGAAATCCAAATGAATATTCTGTTATTGCCTATGCATTACCACTTAGCTTTTTTATGGTTCGTTTTGTTTATCTATTACTGAGATAGTTTGAGCGTGTGGAAGGAGTTGTGTCAACATTCCGTAAGGTGAAATATGGAATAGTATCCAGTAGCAGTCACCTAATTAAGTTAATAATGCTTCAGATCCAGTCATCGGGTTTTCTCTCTAAAATATTTCTCAACATTTGCTATTTTATTTTTTATGTTTTGCAGAATTTTTTGTCCTTATTACGTTCCTATACGATTTTTTTCTGTATTGTATCTTGTACATCTTGTATCATGAGGTTGTCCTTGGTTTTATGCCATTCTTTGTGCTTTACAACTTGAATTAACATCCAGTCATATTTCCGCGTTCCCGATTTAATTTGTATGAACACAGTTAGGCCTTGATGCAGAAACCTCTTGTTTTCCGTCTTTGTTATTTGCTATTGTTAAGTTGTATAGCGTTCTTATGTGTTTTATTTACTGCTTTTCGTTGTCGGCAGTGTATTTTCCCTTCATATGATTCTTGATTTTATCTTTTGTCTGTAGTTAAATTGATTTCTTATCAATACAGCTGACCGTAAAGGTTTTAAAACAATTATGCAATAAGTTGGAGGCAAGTGAAATGTCCCTTCCGGGACCTTCTGTGATAGCAATTTGCCTCTGATACACGAAGCAAATTCTGTTCGACGAAATTTTTTGGTGGGCTCCGTTTCTTTGTGTTGAAAGTAATGCTTAGAGAGTTCATTACTTTCTCGGGCTGTTTACGGGTCAGTTCTTACGGGTTTCTGATTGTTGGTGCGGGTGCGGGTGCGGGTGAGTATGTTACATAAATTGGTGTCAGGTTGAGGCAGCAGGCAGTCTCATCGGCATCTTAGCGATGTGACAGCACTTTTTTGTAGTATGACTGGGAAAATCTTTCCCTTTTTTTTCCTTGGTAACTAATTGCAGAGGTTTTCCTTAGGCGGTAGGATGGTTAAAGAAGAGCGGAATTTTAGGCATTAATGTGCTTTACCACGCTTGGAGTTGTTCAAAAAGACGGTCATTATTGACCTGTGGATGCGGTATGTGCTTCTGGCGGAGGAGTTATAATTTGTACTTGTGTGGTCGTGGTCTTTGTTGAAATTGTTCTCGGGCGAAGGTCAGGGCGACCTGGGTATTTTATGCGCAGTAGTTGCTGTTTTCCAAGCAGGCAGGTAGGTTGGGGGTGATTTCAAAAATTTTTGAGGAATGTGGGAAGTAATTTAAGGAGATGGGCCATTGTGTTTGAAAGTGAGGTTGAAAAATACAGAAATGTAGGGATAGGTTGAGGTATTAATTATTGTGTGGATAGCTGGTGTGCTTTTCCAATGGAATAATTACAAGATTTGTTATTAAGGGGATGAAGTTCAGTGAAGATTAATGGGTGTAGGTCGCGAGAGCCTGATTGTTTATGCTTGAGGAAT